CAAAAACTGTAAAAATCCGTACCTCCCGAGACGTATTTCGAAGTCTGCAGATACGTCCACGGGACTACGTTTTCAGAATGAGCCTAGATTGGTATATTTGCTCAACGTGAGGATCAAACCAGACGCGAGTAAGCAAGTGCAGCATAGATCAATAAAAAAAAAGAAAAAAAGAAAAGAAAAGGTTTTTGTAAACAATATAACTAGCACATTTGATATGAGCAATCACATTTACTAAGTGTATCTAGAGTGCAGTATAAAATGAGTGTTACGCTAACTCTACAAGCTAGTACAGACTATACTGTTTGTTTCATACATGCAAACCTTGTTGCATATACAGCAACAGGCACATTTTTTAGTGACTGTTCTACAGAAAACAATCAAGATTTTTATTAATGAATACTTATCATCATCAACATCATCATCAATCAATCAAATGCAGTATTTTAAGTATCAAATTCGTCGCGCTTCCTTTTGATTTCGATAAGCCCTTTAAGAACGCAATAGGCTTGGATTAGCATATTGTCTACTGAGAAACATTACAATATAAACGCCGCAAAGGCGTCTGATTGTGCACTAGTTGTGTGGATGCTGTACCATAAAGCCTCCTTCCATAAACACTAAGATTACAGCTCATTTCAGACATTACAAGTACATATAATTACGACCAGACGCTTTTCTTCTCCAAAAAAAAAAAAAACGTCACTGGAATATATTTCTGTCGTCACAGCTTCATATATTTCAAGGCCTGGAGGATGATTTGGTTATTTCGAATCACGGACATAAGGCAGAAAACTACATTTCCCACAATCCTTTCCCATTCTCTGCCAGAATTACCCATTTAAAGAAGTCAGAACATTCATTTTGGAGAAGTACCTGAAGTTCAGAAGAGAAACGCTAGCTCTGAATAAAGAGGGATTTACTCTTGGCAGGAATAAGTACTGCATATGGTTTTCCTTTATGCATATATATATCTATATATGTATATACTGTTATCATAACACCACAGCACAATGCAACATGGGTTTAAATGCCCACATAAATACAAGCTGAAACTCGCATTCGAGAGAATCAAGCGACAGCTGAAAAAAACCCTTCGATTTGGCAGGAAGAGAGTAGAGGGAAAAGACCATGTTGAATTTGCACCAGTTGCCATTAAGTCGTAAACCCAGGATGCTTAAATGATCTACTTGCAACGCATGCAAGAAAAGGATGCACCGAAGGACTCAAGAAACAAACCATGCAGCTTCTTGAAATCTAATGCACACAAGACCGAACAAACTACTCAAACTCCACCTTTGATTTCAGGAAATGCAATAAACGACTGACGTGCAACATAAGAGTTCTGCGGTGCTAGAAAATAACAGCAAGCGATCATATCTCGTTGACTGTCCTCCACTGAAGTCCGTACGGCTTGTGCTTGACACGGTGAGAGAGGTAGATTTTTGTTTTCATGGAGCCTTTCAACAGGTCTGACTGGCGATGTAGTGTTGACATAAGACTGAATGAAGCTCCGCTCCGCCAACAGTTGCGTGATTTTGGAGCAAAGTCACGGATATTCAAGACCACTGAGGCACATCAGTGTAAATATCACAGGAAACACTGGCTCCAAGGATCGACGGCGATAGGTTTCGAGAAAAAAAAACTAAACAAAACATGGACGGCTTTTACGTAAGGCTTTTTTTTTGCGATGGACATGCGATGGACTTTCTGTGGTCGCAAGCTCATATACCGATGTTCTATTGCTTCACTTTGTGCTTGGAGGCACTTTGGTTGTGTTTGAGGCATAACGGGTTCGTTAATCGGCTCGACTTTCACTGATAGATGTGAAAAGTCAGAGTGTCTGCACATGTTAAAACCACACCGGGATGATCCTCCAAACCTCCATCCAGAGCACAATGGAAAGGAGAAGTCGCTATATTCTGAAAAGAGAATACGTCTAAATCTAAATCAGTACGGGTCTTTATTGCCGGTGTTTCTCAGTCTGTGTGGTTGTTCACGCAAGTGGTTTTTTTGGAGTCCGCTTTGCGCCCTTTTAGCTTGCCGGTTATGACCTTGTAGCAGCCGCGAGCGATTTTGTACATCCAGATTATATTTAGGATATCCAAACAGACGCAGGATATGATCCAGGCCACCTGAATTGCGAGACCAAGCTTTTCAAACGTTGGCGAATATATGATGCCAAACACTTTGGCCCAGTAGGGTGGCATCACTGCAATCCGCACAAGGAAGAACACGACCGCCATCGCAATGCCATTGGCGACAACCAGCTGGTGAGTGCGAGGATAGGCTAATGCTTCGAAAAACCACCTGCAGGGAGAGAAGCAGATGTTTAGCGCAGGTCAATGGATCTAGAGAGAAACACTTCAAAGAAATGAATTAATCTCACCTTTGGTTCACAAATGGCGTTGACAATTCTGAAATCAGTCGGAAGTTCGCAAAATAAGGAAGTACTCCACGTGTCTAGAGAGAAAAAAAAACTATTATTTGTATACATCTACCTATATACTATTTTAATCATCTATCTATCCATCCATCTACTTATCCATGTATTTATTCAAATATGCAGTCATCTATCTATCTATCTATCTATCTATCTATCTATCTATCTATCTATCTATCTATCTATCTATCTATCTATCTATCTATCTATCTATCTATCTATCTATCTATCTATCTATCTACTCATCCATTTATCTGAATATCCATCCATCCATCCATCCATCCATCCATCCATCAATCTGTATTTTTATCCATCCATTTATCTAAATGAATATGTCTCTATCTATCCATCCATCCCTCTACTGATCTACATATCTACTCAAATATGCATCCATCCATCCATCCATCCATCCAATCATGTAGCTATTCAAATACTCATCCATCTCAATATTTTTGCATCTATTCATCCATCCGAATACCCATCTATCTAAATATCCATCCTTCATTCGATCTTAATATCCATCAATCCCTGTATCTATATGAATTTCCACCCATCCATCTATCCATCCATCCAAATACCTATCTATCTGAATATTCATTCATCCATTCTAATGTCATCCATCCAAATATATATCCAACCATTCAAATGAATATCCATCTGAATATTCATCCCGCCCATCGATCTATCTACCCGAATACCCATCCATCAATCAATCAAAATATCCATCCATCCATCCATCCATCCGAATTCCTATTCATCAATCTAACCAAATATCCAATCCATTCATCAAAATATGCACCCATCCACGTAGCTATTAAAATGTTTATTCTTCGAGTATCCATTCATCTACCCATGTATATACCATTCAAAATTCCAGCCATCCATCAATCCATTCATTTTAATGTCCATCCAAATCTCCATATGAATATTCATCCATCAATCTATCAATTTACACAAATATCTATCCATCCATACATACATCCCATCCATCTGAATATCCATCCATCTATCTATCTGAATACCCATCCAATCCATCGATCTATTCAAATATCCATTCATGCTTCCATATGAATATCTATTTATTCAAATATTTCTATTCACCCATCCATCCATCAATCAATCTATCCATCTGAGTAATTATCAATCCATCCAAACACCCATTTATTTGAATAAGGAAGCACTCCACGTGAAAAAAAAAAACATAATTGTTTGTATACATCTACTTATATATAAAAATAATGTATCTATCCATCTATCTTAATATCAATCCATTCATGTAGCTATTCAAATATCCATCCATCCATCCATTCAAATATCCCTTTATCTAAATATCAATCCACCATTTGTGTATTTGAATATCCAGTTGTCCATCAATCTAGCCATCCATTCATCCATCTAAATCTGAATTTCCATCCATCAATCTATCAATCTAACCGAATATTCATCCATGATATCCATCTATACAAATATCCATGCACGGATCTATCAATCTACCTGTCCAAATTCCCATCTATCTAGATATCTATCCATCAATTTAACTGAATATCCGTCCATCCATCCAACTATACAAATATCCATGCATCTATCCATCCAAATAGCCATCTATCTGAATATCCATCCATTAATCCGAGTATTCATCTACCCATGTATAAACCATTCAAAATTCCAGCCATCCATCGATCCATTCATTTTAATGTCCTTCCAAATCTCCATATGAATTTTCATCCAGTCATCCATCTATCTGAATATCCATCCATCCATACATCCATCCATCCAATCTAAATATCCATTCATCCATCTAAATTTCCATCCATCAATTTATCAATCTACACAAATATCCATCTATCCTTCCATATGAATATCTATTTATTCAAATATCTCAATATCTATCCATTCATCCATCCATCAATCAATCTATCTGAGTAATTATCAATCCATCCAAACACCTGTTAATCTATCGAAATATCCGTCTATTCACCTGAACATTTATCGGTCTATAAAAATGATGCAACTGATGTTGTCCTGTAATAAACGAATGGATAAACCAACCAACCAACTAAATTAACAAACAAGTGACTGGATGTTGAGGCTATTTGTGGTATCAATATTCATAAATATAAACCATATCACAAAAATATATAATAAACAGTTGAACAGACACATTATATAGTATCAGACTCTTTTAAAATATGCCTGACGACATCTATGAAATGTAGATTTGTATTATTAAATATTTAAAGTTTTTGATCATCATTCAGAATAGGTGTCCAGAAATGTGTTCTGTAGTTGCAGCTATTTACCAGCACATATCCATAGGCATACAGCGCCGCCAAGTGGTGACAGACAAAAAACACATCTCCCATCGTACTCCAGTTACAAGCCAGAAGCAACAGGTCTGAGAGAAGAGGAGAAAACACATCAATATTTTAACAATCTAATTCAATATAATAAAATGTAAAATATCTGTGCCTGACTTTACATGAGAAAGCAGTGGTTCATACCATAGAACAAGTATCCACAAGTGATGGCCACGTTGAGTTTTACCAAGTTAGGATCACCCCTGAGGAAAGACAAAAAAAAAAAAAGGATAGAGTTTAACAAAAGGCAAAGTCAACAGTATAAGAAATGCTGTCAGACAGCTATAGAAATGTTGTTACTGTATTAAGATTAACATGAACAGCTTGTTTCTAAAAGGTGTAATCCACACAAAGCATGAAGGGGGTGGTGCTGATTTTGACAGAAGCCCTTTATTACTGTAATATCACTGGCTGCACGCCACTGTCAACACTGCCAACCGTACATACATATTCAGCTATAATGTTTCATCACATTGTACCTGGATGAACTTCTCATGTTGCATGAAAAACATGACCTTTTTTGCATTACAGATATTTGGAATTTGGTCTTGTAAGCTAAATATACATATCTACTTAACTGCAGATTTAATAAATATGTTTATTATACAAAACAAATTTGTGAAACAGGTACACTGTAAAAACAATTATAAATAAATTAGCAGTTTTCTGTACTTTGTGATGCATGTTTTTATTTTTCCCAGTTTATTTCTGCTTTTGAATTGAATTATGGGACCTTAATCTTTCTTCCAACAACATTTAACCCTGAAAAGTGACTTTTATTAACATTTTTAATCCCCTTGTTAAGTGGTGATGTGTTTGTGACGTATGTATACTGTTTCCGGGTCCAAGCCGCCATTCATTTGAGTGGAGAAATCATTCGTTCATGATCACGTTTTATTCCTATCACACATTAAAGTCGATTTTACATAAAGTCATAGTGTGCACAACAATCTCTGGGCTTGCTGCATAACAAATACCAAAATTTTACAATTTATAAAACAATGAATCACTTTCTGGCCATCGGATATTAGGCATGGACATATATATTGCGATCGTGACTTTCGAAAGAATTAAATCGCTTTGTAAACGTTTATTATTACCATTTCATGAATCTCCCCATTCAGTTGAATAGAGCGCTTAGACCCAGAATCGGCTTCGCGTGACGTCACACTTAACAAGCAGATAATTGAAGGTGATCTATTGTCTGGATTGGTGTTGTATTTACAGCAAAAACCTTGTAATAAACTGCCAGTACATTTTCTGTTATCTTACAGATTTATTTCTCTATTTATTATATTATATTTTCAACATGAAAAGTCAACAGATCAACATCCCATAAAACAATTCACAACCGTAAATTAACACTTGTGAATCACTGAATTCTGTTAATAAACAGTTATGATTTACAGCATAGATATAATGCAGTTTTACATAAATTAAATTACATTTTTATACCAAGCTTGACATTTTCTGCATTACTTTTAATCTTTACATTTTGTTAATGATTAATATTCTTTAAAGAATGTCTAATCAACTGAATTCATTAAGCATCACTTTTCTGGCTTCTGTGTTTTGAGATTTAACATAAACTGAGAAATTAAATCATCAATAAAAACAAACCAAACGAATAAAACATCTCAACTGGATTCCTGGAGGGCCGCAGCTCTGTACAGATTTGCTCCAACCCTAATCAAACACAGCTGATCCAACTAATCAAGGTATTCAAGACTACTAGAGACTATTCTAAGCAGTTGGGGGTGGTTGGAGCTAAACTATGCAGTGCTGCGGCCTTTCAGGAATAGAATTTTAGAACAGAATGTATGAAAAAGAAAAATTTTGTTTAAAAGTGAAACTTAATTCCTCTGAAAGAATTACTGTTTAAAATGAGTAAAAAAAGTGTGTGATTGTGTAATATACCTTAAATATGTTTTAAAAACTATTAATATTATTTTTTGCCTTTACCTGTTAATATTAAAACCGTTATTAGTTTGTTATTAGCAAGCCTTATATACATGTTTGATCAAATCCAAATGCTTAGTAAGCATTTGAAACATGTTGTAGCACTTGGCTAATCATTATTAGCATGTAGCTAGCATGTGTAGCATATAGGAAGGCTCGAGTCAAACAAGCCAATCACAATGTCTGCATCCGAAATCGCATACTGCCATACTATATGGTGCGCTAAAAACAGTATGCGAGCTGAGAAGCATGTCTGAATTCATAGAATTCGAAAAACAGTATGCGAGAAGTACCCGGATGACCTACTACCTCCAGTGAGACTCTGAAGTGAACCTCAGTACATTACAGATATCTCAGATCATTAGGATCAAGTAAATGAGATACTCCAAGAGTTCAGTGTAAGCAGGTTGATTCTGCCTTCAGCTATTACACCCCCGCTGCTGGAATCAGCTTCAGGAAATGATCAGATGTGCTCCAACATTGGGTACATTCAAATCAAGGCTGAAAACACATCTGTTTAGCTGTGCCTTTACTGAATGAGCACTGTGCTACGTCCCACAGATCACACTATTATGTCTTTTTTTTTTCTTTTTTATTCTTCTATAACCTGTTTTAACACATTTTAATCTGTTTACAAAAAAAAAAAAAAAAAAAAAAAAAACTACTAATACTTCCCTTCTTAGACTTTACAGACCTGAAACTTGCCTTTAGTACTTATTCATTGTTGCTCTTAGTTGTGTAAATTGCTTCCTTGTCCTCATTTGTAAGTCGCTTTGGATAAAAGCGTCTGCTAAATGACTAAATGTAAATGTAAATGTAAATGTTTTAATTACTTTTAATTATTTTAATCATTTTTTATTTTCCTGTCTCTTTCATCCCTGTTTATGTAAAGCGATTTGAATTGCCACTGTGCATGAAATGTGCTATATAAGTACACTTGTCTTGCCTATTGAGTATTTTAGATGTTTTGTTTAGCCTAAAAATGCTTTATTAAACCAGTGGTTTTTAAAAGTGGGGGTCGGGACCCCCCGAGGGGTCGCGGGGCAATGAAGGGGGGGTCGCCTGGTGATTTCCAAAAATCTATTTATTTTTATTAAACCATAAGAATTAACATATTTTATCCATAACTATACTGAAAATAAAAATAGTCGTTTATAGTTACTATATACTATATAGTTACTATAGTAGCTTATAGTTACTAGTTCTATTGGATTGCGACCCCTGGGGTAATTACATTTCATTAAAGGCAGCAATAGCGTCAGATGCATTTTGATTTTATAACATCAGGTTATACTTTCTGGCACATTTAAAGCACTGACACAAATTTAATTGGTGCGTCTGCGTCAAAGTATGCAAGGTTTCTGTATTTATAACCACCTCAGAGGATATTTGGGCTCGCGAGTCACAGGCATTGTTATTTTAAGGGTCGCGGGCTGAAAAGTTTGGGAACCGCTGTATTAAACATCCAAAAACCCACAGGTGCATGAAAACAGTGCATTTCCCTGCAGTGCCTGGCTTTTTTGAAAGGCACCATCATGATCATGTGATGAAAAAACACACACAAGTGTCCAGGGTCATTTGAGAGCTAGAGAGGAGCAGAAGTGAGTCAACAAACTCTTGCACTCGCCATATGGTGGATGAATATCTGAGGCAGCCGAAAACAGGCTGTAAAACGATCAGGAAAGTGATACGCAGTGACCGCAGGTGTCCAGTAGCAGAAGTGTGTGTGTGTCTGTGTGAAAGAGGATCTAAGCATGAGTGCCAGCAGACTCTCACACACACACACGGAGGAAGCTCGGTTAGTGACTTAGCGCTGTCACCTTCACTGACCTCTGACCTCTCTGACAAACACCTGAACTCTCACTGCCGCTCAGGTATGCACATCTGATGCCTCGTACACACACACACACACACACGCATACCTACCTAACAAACCAATGAGGACACATGACTCAACACCCTACCTTTGGGGACTACCCTTTCTGAAGGGTCTAGAGACAAAAGAAAGACATGACTGCACTACTAAAAATGTGCTTATTATGAATATCAGTTGATATTTGCAAAAAAATACTTCTATAAAGACCTGACAAATTACCTTCAAAATGAGGACAGTATTTTATAACTCACCTTTGGGGACATGTACACAAACTCCGGTATAGTCACACTTTGAGGACCGCAGTTATACACAAACTCAGGTTAAAGTATACTTTAAGGACTCAGTTATCTGAATTTTTCTAATATAATATTATTAATAATTATAATAATGTTAGAGCAGAGAGACATATGATAAAGTAAATAAGATCACTGAAAATAGACAATTACATTTTTTCCTTCACAAATAACTCAATCTGGTGTCAGAAGGTCATTTGGTGTCAAGTATTGTTCATGAAATGACATATTTCTCTCATAAATAGTATGTGACAGAAAGCATGTTAGCAGAATAATACATACAAACTAATTTTAAAAAACAGTAAGGGAGAAGTAAATGGATGACCTTACAGTGAGTTTATGAAGCTCAATGGACACATTAATATCCAATGATATGAGAAGTGATGAAACTCTACTGATAAGTCATATGATGGTTACTATAGTACATCTCAAATCCATTCACACTAAAACCCATACTGTATAAAACAAGGGTTGTGAAGTTCAAATTCATATACACTAACTACTTACATGCGCCATAAGACACGTTTCTCAGTGAAAACAAATACTGTGAAAGTCTTTATACAAATGATTAGTTGAAAGAGGAGTGTCTATAATTAATTTAGTTTAGACTACAGTGGAAATACACACATTTGAGGACTCTGTTGATACACACACACACTGCTTTAGCTACACTTTGAGGACTCTTGTGATACACACACGCCTACCTTTGGGGACTCAGTTGATACACACACACCTTTGGGGACCTTGGTGATACACACACACACTGCTTTAGCTACACTTTGAGGACTCTGGTGATACACACATACCTTTGGGGACTCAGTTGATACACACACACCTTTGGGGACTCTGTTGATACACACATACCTTTGGAGACACTGGTGATACACACACTGCTTTAGCTACACTTTGAGGACTCTGGTGATACACACACACACCTTTGGGGACACTGGTGATACACACACACTGCTTTAGCTACACTTCGAGGACTCGGGTAATACACACACACACCTTTGGGGACACTGGTGATACACACACACACACTGCTTTAGCTACACTTTGAGGACTCTGGTGACAT